TGTCCCCTCTCATATATAAATCAGCAGATTTATGAGCCGGCCCCGGCGGAGCCTGGGAACGGCTAAAAAGAGCGCGCTACCAAAGAATGTCCTTTGGCAAGCGTGACAACTAAACATTGCTTGTACTTATCCGGTTATTTAAATTGACCAAGCGGTAACTCTAGCGGGATAAAAAAGTAAGATTTATCGTATCATTAGCATGAACTTCACTCATTTCTCATATAAGTTACTTTGAGTTCGCATCCAGATATAGAAACAGAATATACCAAATGCATTGGGTAGTGATTTATCTCATATTTCCCATAAATCACGGATTCAAGGTGTATTACTTGATATAGAATTCATTCTATATGCAGAAATTGACCTTGTGTATAACCTCCGGCAATACTTAGGAAATTAGACTATTTTTAATTTTTATTTACTCAGTTACCAAGTTTGCCTCCCTTAGCACTTTACGGCCAGTGCATCGGTTTTCGTGTCGGGCTTCCTGTCCCTCCCGAGTAGTTGAGTAGGCCACTCAACGTACGTGGGAGGTATGCTAATCCTTCCATGTCCAAAACATTTAGATTGCAAGTGCTGAATATTCAATRTATGCAAATTATGAATTTTAAGTTTCCATTGTTCAACGTGCATTTGCATTTATTAAATACAGCGACATAACGACATAACGCTTCTTTCTTAGTCGTCCGTGAAATGTCACAGCACAAAATATACCGTTTTCTATTGTACAATAAACAGAATGCAAGAATCCGATAAAGTAACGACTGAAGAAGTTCTTTCCAAAGCCGGGAGTTCTGGTCGGTTCCAAATCTTTCTATTCATTGTCGTTACTTACATCGAGGTAACCTGGGCAGCTTTTAGTGGTGGTAGCTATCTATTCCTAATCGCGGAACCAAGATGGAAATGCTCAGCAAATAGTACACTATGTAACATAACGGGGACAGTAGGACCTGGGGAGGATCACTACAAGTATAGGTGTGGAATACCTCGTCAGGAATGGACGTTTGTRGATGAGTATACTTCATTTGTTACTCAGGTTTGAATCTAATTTAACGACTGTTTCATATGTTTACTCGGAAAGAAAATTAATGCTTATAATTATTTACTTACAAAAAAACACACACAACACAAACAATATAGTGTATAGCCAACTTTATTTACCAACGGCTGGTGAACACTATAGCATTACTTTAGAATCATTCATCATCATGTATTCTGTACTCTCCTCGCACCAGTAGGCGCATAAGCGTCTACCTCCCCTGCAGCAATCTCTGTCCTTCGTTGTGTTGTTCCCCTTTTTGCTTCATTTCCATTTCCCTCCATCCTTCGTTGTTCCGTTCTCTCATAACTGTTCTTCAAAAGTTTTTTCTTCTCGAATTATTAACACAACTCTCTTTGAATTCAGAGACTGACAAATAAAATTATTCAGGCAAAACTCATTTGCATGCAAAACCTAGGTGAAGAATGAATAAGCCAAAAGAAACCTAAAAGCAATGTGTTTAGCACTGAGTCAGTGATGCATCTAGCTAATGTTACTTTGCTTGTTTGCTAGCTGAATAGAGTTTTCTTTCTGATTTTGCATATTACATTTCTCATTTGCTCGACTTCGTCTCCATCGCAACTAATTTTTTTATTTTTCAAAGATGGGGAAAACCACCAAGAAAAAATGGAATTTTTTTTGAGTCTTCATGGAAATCGGCCCTTGAAAGCTCGTTTTTTTTTGTGCAACGTTAAAGTTATGAAATATGGAATGAATACCTTCGAATCTCCACTATTTACTTTGAAAGGCTGAGGAAATACGAGAGATGATTCCTTGGTAGACGTCACATTCGCAGCATGCCCTTGATTTCAAAGAGAGCGCATTTCTCCGAAACTGGCGGGAAATTCAAAATAACGTTAAATATCGGAAATTCATCCAATTCAAAATTTTTGCGCCAAGTTACTATTTTAATGCATGCGATAGAATGTCCTAGAATTTGAAAAAAAAAATTGAGTTCAGTTGCACTTTAAGAGATTACCAGAAACAAAGAGTAATGGCACAATGAGATCGCTGATACTGCTAAGCGGTCAATCTATAATATACTCTCTTTATATCATCCGT